CTATGGTGACATCTTACTATAGTGACATTTTACTATGGTGATATCTTACTATAGTGACATCTTACTATGGTGACATCTTACTATAGTGCTATCTTACTATAGTGATATCTTACTATAGTGACATCTTACTATAGTGACATCTTACTATGGTGACATCTTAATATAGTGACATCTTACTATAGTGACATCTTACTATAGTGATATCTTACTATGATGACATCTTACTATGGTGACATCTTACTATGGTGACATCTTACTATAGTGACATCTACTATAGTGACATCTTACTATAGTGCCATCTTACTATAGTGATATCTTACTATGGTGACATCTTACTATAGTGACATCTTACTATGGTGACATCTTACTATAGTGACATCTTACTCTGGTGACATCTTACTATAGTGATATCTTACTATGGTGACATCTTACTATAGTGACATCTTACTATAGTGCCATCTTACTATAGTGATATCTTACTATGGTGACATCTTACTATAGTGACATCTTACTATGGTGACATCTTACTATGGTGACATCTTACTATAGTGCCATCTTACTATAGTGATATCTTATTATGGTGACATCTTACTATGGTGACATCTTACTATAGTGCCATCTTACTATAGTGATATCTTACTATGGTGACAGCTTACTATGGTGACATCTTAATATGGTGACATCTTACTATGGTGACATCTTACTATAGTGACATCTTATTATGGTGACATTTTACTATAGTGATATCTTACTATGGTGACATCTTACTATGGTGACATCTGACTATGGTGATATCTTACTATGGTGACATCTTACTATGGTGACATCTGACTATGGTGACATCTTACTATAGTGACATCTTACTATAGTGACATCTTACTATGGTGACATCTTACTATGGTGACATCTGACTATGGTGACATCTTACTATGGTGACATCTTACTATAGTGACATCTTATTATGGTGACATCTTACTATGGTGACATCTTACTATGGTGACATCTGACTATGGTGACATCTTACTATGGTGACATCTTACTATAGTGACATCTTACTATGGTGACATCTTACTATAGTGATATCTTACTATGGTGACATCTTACTATAGTGACATCTTACTATAGTGACATCTTACTATGGTGACATCTTACTATGGTGACATCTGACTATGGTGACATCTTACTATGGTGACATCTTACTATAGTGACATCTTACTATGGTGACATCTTACTATAGTGACATCTTACTATGGTGCCATCTTACTATAGTGACATCTTACTATAGTGATATCTTACTATGATGACATCTTACTATAGTGATATCTTACTATAGTGATATCTTACTATAGTGACATCTTACTATGGTGACATCTTACTATGGTGACATCTTACTATAGTGACATATTATTATGGGTTATGTAATTTGAATTTCACATATTATAAATACAATAGGGTTAAAAACTATGGAAATCAGATGCCACAACATTATTGAGTCACCGACAGTCACGCATCTCCGCCAACAATCAACAAGTTGACGGAACATGAGTTTTGAAATATTCCATTTTCAGACTCAGAAACCCTTCACAATTAGTTCTATTAAAGGACACACTGGCGCGGTTATGGCAACCAAACATAATAACATAATATGAAATCTACTAACCCATCAGAATACCGGACAGAGCAGTTGTCACTCGGAATTGCTCTTCTATATACTTTCCATAGAACATTGCCACACCGCCGTAGAAGGCGTAAATTGAAGTCCTGGCTAGGATAATACATACTAACGTCATATTGCAAATCAGTCGCACTAACGTTCGGGAATAGTCTGCAAAGAAATTTGATGATTTGATACATATAGATTATGGAATGACAAGCGATCTTATGCACGATTTTGAGGTGACGAGCCCGGGGCAGTTGATATATAGCTGGGTAGGGAGGTGCTCCTGAGTGCTCAAAAGTGTGACGGTGTCACCATTTTAATACCTGGATAGTGGCAAAATCTATACCCATATTAATACGAAAGTACCATTTAAGTCATCACTGTTTATTCCGTATTTGCTCTATTAGAAGAGCACCCCCTATAGAAGCACATGTAAGCCAACGGTTGCATTGTATATTGATTTATTAAAATATGTATTTTGACCATAGAAACACCTCTGTCACTTACATAGGAGCATATTATTAACACAGCGTTCAGCGTTATTTAGGTTATTTAGGTTGTTAAATGAGAAACAACAGTTCGCTTTCTTTTTGAACTCCTTTTGATCTCTCTTTGATAAGGGTTCGCTATCAGAAACAGGGGGTTGAACAAGTATACCAAATCGGAAAAATATTAGCGATATTTATACCTATGTTGCCCAGAAATAAGACCGATACTTATACCTAAAATCTAAAAAACGAGACCCATTTCAGGGGCACGTCCCCATTAGGCAAGCTCTTAAGTATTGCCCCCCCCCCCCCGGGGTGTGACGAGGAACGAGTTGAGTGACGTCAAAATCTTGTGTAGAGCGCTTGTAATAACCGGCTTCTAGCAATCAAAGTCGCGTGTATCCCTGCTTATTTTACTGTCGATCCCGCCACTTACACAGTTATTTTTAGTATCAGTGTTGATATCGATAGCGAAATTGACATATAATCAAAGTGAAGTTCCAAGCCATATGTAGATTATAAAATGGGCATAAAGCGATCTGATTGGCGGTTACAGTCTATTCATGTTACATATACGCGAGACAAAGTGTGAGATTGAATGTACAACTTTCAAGGCCCAAAGTCATTTTTTTCACCGTGACGTCTCGAAAAAATAAACCTGCATGACAGACCTCATTATTATATTAGCATCAGGTGCTTGGTTGGTCTGTTTTGAAATGCCACAGGCGTCGCGCCGCGTCGTCGTCAAATCGGCGACCATTGCGCGTTGCGTGCTGACTGGGCGTGCTGCGTGGCGGATGAAGCGCTTACTTACCTTTTAATTTTTTACCATGACTTGCTTTTTCTGTCTTTGGTGGGTCTTTCTTGATTCCACAATTTGTGTTTGATGGTCGTTTGGGTACAAGCAGTAACATGCAGGATATGACAGTCATCATCAAAGCAATCACGATGTAACCGAGCCACCATGCTCCAACCCATCGTGGGTCACTGGGGTCAATGGCAACGTTCTCTACTCGATAAAAGTCGACGTATAAATTTGTAAAGTACGAAGCCATCGGCATGCCAATTACTGGACCGATGCAGAAGGTTGCAAAGAATACACCTGGAATTTAAATATCATGTTTATGAGTTTGAGTTCTAGTTTTAACATGGCGGTGTGCATCATTGGGCTTTGCTTTTTCATGAATTCGTATATTATATATTCTATGTCATTTTTTGCAGGTCTGATACAATGGAACAAAACGTTCAATGCGCGAGAACTGAGTCCCAAGCGACGATAACAACACACGCTAAAAATGCAAAGGCTCATAGATAGACGCTTGTTTGTAAACAACGACACGCTATGGCTGACGCATGCGCAGGTGACGACTCCCCTGCTTTAAGAGATGTAAGAAAAAGTTGAATGATATTATCCCCATCTGCGTTCTTCAGACTGTCAGAATGTTTCAAACTTAAATAGTTCCCAAAACGACATTTAGGAGTAATTTAAATAAATGAGCAGTTTAGTACCAGCATTAATTAAATTCGAACATATCGCAAACGATGAAAGTGACTAGTTTGCAAAAAACATTTATTTATTACTGTACATTTTACCGATGCGTATAATTAAAATGACCGTGTAAAATGGTTCAGCTCGAGCCGGATCGAGTCAAGTACCGCTCAAATAAATCCTTGGGGTTGAACTTTGGACAATAGGACAAGGCCCCGGCATGGACGGACCGTGTAAAATACTAGTACCACGTCAAAGGGAACTCAAAACGAAACGTAACGTTCTGCCATAAGCGTATAAAATCAAAACGGGTAATTTCCTGTTAAATTGGCGGGGAACAATAGTTCGGTCCCGATAAAATGCTGCCGTGTAAACTCAGTAAATGCATGGAGATTTCATAAACATACTCGTGGAAGATAACCATCCGTACCTTTACTCATGAATATGCATATTTCCCGAATGCAGGTCAGATGTATTTTGCCAGAGTGTGTTTGTGATGTTGCGGGGAAATGCTATGTTGGCTAGATCTGTACCTAAACTAAGAATATATTTAAATAGTATTCATGTATAATCAATCAAATAGTGCCTTTTGGAAACGATTTCAATATACCAATGGGGCTCGATAAAATACCAAAAAATCCAAATTTTATCAGTATTTGCACATATTAATATTATATAATTTTGTTTTTATTATAATGTCGCTTTTTATCATAATAATAATTGTTTCTATCATTATTACAACACTATATTGTCGTTATTTGGTAGTTCTTAAATTATTTCGCATTGTAATGTCATTATTTGACCATGTTTATATCCGATGTTTTATGACATGAACTTTATTGTGTGTATGTCTAAGCATGGAGCTAATTAATGACCGTATATAGCTCTAATCATTATAACATCATGTCTAAACTGTTATATCCTCATTACGTCCTTATTCCATTTTGTATATCGATATTTAATCATTTGAACTTTAAAATATTATTTTGGTCGTTTTTATATTGATTCAACAATATTCTATCATATTGAACCACGTATACATAATTATATATACTCATTTCCAATGTATATATCTTAATTATTTAGTCACTATCTCATCCTTTTAACCTTATTGTATTATTTGTGTTATTACTACGTCATTATGTTTACGTTTGTATATTATTTACAAGTTATTATCTGGCCATTTTTACATTATCTACATATGTTACGTCTTTATTTGAGCATTACACCCCGTTTCAAAATGTTACACGTCATTATTTCACCATTTTACACTATTTTACCTTTATAATGATACTGTTTGATATTTCTTACGTTTTTCCAACGTTATCTGGTAATTTCTGGATGTCTGTCTCGCAGACTTGCCAGGCATGACTAAAAGTCTTTGCGCGGTACCGGTGCCCACGAGGAATATTAATAAACATGGATCTCAAGCTAATATTAGCCAATTGTATCTGTGTACGTTCAAAATTATTTCAATATCGTCATAAATTATAGCTTGAAGTTTAGTGGCAACCAGTACAATTATACTAGAAGTCAGCTGGATGTAACTTTCTCCGCACATTTGCGGAGGTCCTTTGAAGTTTCAATACAGCATTGTCTATTTATGTGTTATATGATCAATTTCTACGTGTTTCTGACTCGTGTTATGACTTATAAGTATTTGGTAAACATACCCATGTACAAAGGTGACCTTTTTTTGCTAACATTGTCGTCAATATGGGCAATCCCTAATGTGAAGATTGGGGTATTTCCCACTCCAATGATAGCATTGCTGATCAATAATAATATGACTGCCTCCGATCCAATAGGAACGACCGAACCATGCGAACTGACGTCTTTACATCTGGCGTCGTCGTATAAATTGTGTGAGTAGTTAAAATTTGCGCTACTACACAATTCGCTGGAACCAGCTTCGTCTTTTTGGAAGCGTAGTTGTTCGTAGTCGTAAGGAGGGGAGACAAACTGCGTTGCCGATTTCACAAGAAATCCAAAGGCACACACGAACAGCCCGGCCGCCACCCACCTCGGTCTGTGGCTATTGGGACGGCCCCCGAAATATGTCACGACGACAACAGACACGATGTCTACAATATCCCGCAACATGTTGTACAATCCCATGAACCCGCTGGATAGTCCATAGCGTTTCTGAAGGCCAGTGATGCTCACGATCGTCACGCTCATGCCGAATGAAAACGTCAGAACCGTCAACAAGTGGAGCACGTAATAGGTATTAATTGTTGAAAAACGTTGAAGACATACAGGATGAAATCCGAAAATGCCACAACTTGTGGCGCTTTTATCACGGGACTCTGTTCCATCATTCTCCTTTAGTATCTTCGGATGAAGCGTGACATCTGTCAAGATTTTCTCCATCAGTGGTTCGCTGACACTCGCATTTGTCGTCGGTTCCTTCATAGTGTTTGCTGGGGTTCGCCGTGGTTTATCTATGTATATAAAAAATAGGTCCCATTATTGGTACACGAGTTACGTAATCATGATGATAACGTGGTAATTTACAAGTTAGGTAATGATAACATGGTATTATACGAATTACGTTATGATGATATATCTTCTCGCTCTGTTACGCGCATGTCTGTTAACGTACAGTCAACTTAGCTGTCCGGTGTTATTACCGAACCTTCGAAATGCCCTCCAAAATGCTCATCAACCAACTTTTTACCAATGAACACAGAATTGTATACACGTATACATGGCAATATGTTCATGGATATATATAACAACAGAACAACTCATTTAAAACAGCAAGTAACACCAGAAACAAGCAAAATGTGAAATTCTGTATCTCTTCGCCTAGTCTTTAGCATAGAGTATAGATCAAACATAAACAACATTTGAATAGTGTAAGAAAATTAATATTCAGTCTTTAATTACACCAAAATTATAACATTTTGCATTGAAATACTTAATCGGAATTTTGAATGTTTATATGTACTTTGTATTATGTGTGTTATAATTGTAGAAGTTTATGTTAAATGGTCGATGGAAGGCGAATTTAAAGTAGCTTGGCCACTCGCCATTTTGGAGTTTGTGCACAGTTAACTAGAGAATACCCATGATGCTCTGTTTCATTTTATATTATGCAATTTTCTCTATTATGTATTAACTCTATAATGCAAACATATTTTAATGTAGAATATACGTGAGTACATCCCACGCTACTGTGTGTGTGTAAAAAACGTGTTGGTAGCTTCAGTAAGTTATTTGGGGTGAAGCATGGAGCTCCATGTGTAAGTTAATAAACTTTATTGACATTGTACCCAATTTAGGGTATTAAATTGATTACAATAAAGTAAATATGTTTTAGAAAAAACATAAACAATTAAAAATGAATGATCAGATAAAGGAAAGTAAAATACAGTAATTACTAAAATAGCTAAATAATAGAAAAAAATTAAAATCACTACTAGTATCAGAAATAAAGCACTGATAAATGAATTTACCAAGTTTGATCAATGTGTTTTCATTTTTGTATTCTAGAATTTTTATTAAACAAATTTGATCAATGTTTGTGTTGCCGGATTTTTGGAAAAATTCATTTCTGATGTTATTGTAGCATGGGCAGTAAAGAAGGAAATGTTCTTCATCCTCAATTAGTTTATATTTTCTACTACGTTTATATTTTGATGACTTCCAGTCTCAATCTTAAGAGTGTGTGCACTAATTCTTAGTTTTGTCATGGCTGATCTGTAGTATGGATTGTTCACAACTGCCAGATAATTTTCGAAGGAGGTGTCTTTTTTGAGTTGCCTATATGTGCGATGTGTGTAGGTAGCTGACTGCGCAGTGAATAATTTGTTTGTTTCAAAGTACAGTTTGGTATATTTATTCAGAAAAAAAAAAGAGTTTTTTAATTTATACAAGTTTATTTTTGCGTTGTGTCCCTCGCAGTTGTGGGGGAATATGTTCTGCCATAGACCCTCTAAGAGTTTTTAATAGTCCATCCATAAAGTACTCTGACCTTGTAACGGTATTTATAATGTCCAGACTCAACATTTTATCAGACGACGCAGTAATCTATTGATTGTTTGCCATGATTTTAATCTCTAATACTCAAACTTTACAGAAAATATACGTTGTCTTAACTCGTCTTCTGGTACAAGATCCTGTTAAAACGCTTTATCTAGCCTGAGAAATGCTGCCGCAAAATGTAAATGTTAAATTAGTTGTGTTTTTGTCAAACTTTGAAAGTGAAATTTTTACTGCGCATGTACGCGAAATGGGGAGGGGGATGTAGAGTCACTTATTTAATACAGGATTGAGGGTGAATTTACTAACAGATTCAGCTCTTCTTTTAGTTTAATGCACTGGACTGTAACGTAATGTTGTATTATAGCTGTTTTTTTTAAATGACGGGTTGTACTAATTAGCGATACATAATAATTGTCGGACGCAGAATTCATTTTTTTTCTGGGAGGTTCTTTCAAGGATACACTGATGGCGGAGCTTTCATTGACGACTGTCACGGTTCATTACATTGATATTATCTTGATCTTCTTTCCGGCTATCGCCTCCATCACGTGATGTCGTTATCACAATGTCACAACCTGCCGATCCCAGATAGTTTATATAATAAGCCATGTATTTTTCAACGTAATCGATGTCAGTGAAGATAGTATTATTTTAAAGAAATGTCCAGCATGTTAATATCATGAAACAAACAAGTCATTCACTACTGTACCTTTCATCAGTCAAGGAAGAAAAAAGATAAACAAAAGAACTCAAGTAGGACTTTTTGGCTGTGGCTCTTTTTTTTTTTTTTACTTCCGTGCATCAGTGTGCAACCCCCTAAATGTTCATCAACCGACTCTCCACCAATAACGTACACGGCCACACACTGGTAAAGGGATATGTTCATGAATATATATTAACAGCAGAAAGCATGAATCAGCCAGATACTCAGAGCAAAATGAAAAATACTTAGCCTCTCTACCTGTTCTTGGGCATTCTGACTATATACAAAGGTGATCATAATGGCTATAATCACCCTAATCACCACTGCAGTCAACACACAACTGTTGGGAGACTGCAGTGTGAGTCAATACCTCTGACGTGAAATGCACCATAGTCCCTATATCCATGGATTCTACCTCCATACTCTATCCTCTAGAGGGCCTGTGCCTGCACATTTCACTGTCGCGATATCTAAAACCTATCTATTTCCATCAATATACAACTATGATTATCATAGTACTGATTGTATGCCAAATTTATAATGAAAATTAGAGCACTGGTCAAGGTGTCCTTGAAAACCTAATTTGTTTCGAAGACAAAGAGGTAAAAGTAGGTGTTCCTTTTGAATAAACTCTTGTCAGTGTCTGTAAGCAGTTACTTTTAGAGTTTCTAAAGCATGGAGGTAAAAAACCCACCATTAATCACCATTATCGTGTCTGTAAGCAATTAACTAATAAATACCCATAATGCTCTGCTTCGCTATTTTCTCTATAATTTCGATCACTAAAACAACTATGAACACTATATTGTGAACATGATTTTGAATGTGAAAAATATATGTGAACGCACTTCCGAGTCCACAGCTACATATGAACAGAACGGTTTTGGTAAGATCGGGTGATATTTTGGGGGCTCTATGTAGTATGTAAGTCCATGTGTGGAGCAAGAAGCTAGGCCACATGCGTGTAGTTAGATTACTTGACAGTGGTGGTGTGTTAGTTTGTTAACGGGTATTAAAGGGCGGTAGTCGTCGCGCCACGCATGTGGGACATTTGTGTTGATTTTCCCACAATCCAGTGCGATTTTACAATGCAATCACAATTACGAAGTTTGCCCTGGGCGTCACTTGCACTAATTACCATGACGACACATTCGATTCTTTAGAATCATCAAACAAATTAAAGCTTGGTGACCTGTCGGTTTGACTTGTTGGTGTGCGATATATGAGACCCATATGCATGCTCGGCGCGACGACCAACGCCCTTTAACATGCTGGAGTCGTATTTATTTAATTTGTCAACCAAAAATAATTGACGTAATTGACTTAATCAATGTACATTGTTTTTAATTAAATAAATACTGACTAACTCAGAGTAACTAAATAACTATTTTTTTTTTGTTTTTTTTGACACTGTAAACTCAGATTAGCTATCACAGTCCGGGCTGAATGTGACAAGAGTGGGGCCATGATGTAAATAGATAAAAAATGCAATTACGACATATAGCTGTTGCGTCATGTTGTTTGTGCCTTATTGGATCGAACCGGATAGTTGAAGCGTGAGCAAGCTAGGAGATACGCCGATTCAATCCCTACAACGAGCATCTATGTCAAATCATAGACGTATAAATAGTTTATACCTCCATGGTCAAATCATGGAAGTATAAACATACCTCCATATTCAAATGAAGTACAAAACAGGCACTATACAAACACAAACACGTTTATGTGTGACTGTATGTTTATATCATACACATGATATAAAAGCCTTGTTGACTTTTCAAATATAATACATAAAAGTTGACGAAAACTTTTTTCCGAAAAAATCTTTTCATTCTTTATTTTCATTTTAAACTTTCCATTCATTTTGTACTATTGTATAATGAATGTACAATGGGACTGACACAACACAAGGTCCGCTTCCTGGTCGGTCTCGACCGCCCTCCGGCCCTCGGTGTTTTATAACAGCTTTGATAGAAACATGACATTTATTCGTATCAATATAAGTTTGCTCGTCTTCAGTTTCGTATACGACATGAAGTCGACAACAGCGCATTTAGCATCGGAATGTTACAGACAATAAATAATGTTTCTGATTGGGTATAAAAACAATGCCAGTTCTTACCTTGCTGTGATGCTCATTAGCTATCATTGATGCGCAGCTGAAGTACACACAGGACTTTGATCCGTTGGTTATTCGTATTTACTAGGCGTGGACACGTGACCTACTCGTAGTGTTGAGAGATTGACCTTTGTTGTATGCACCCCTCGCGCGAGAAGAAGATGTATCACACCATTGTCAATTATCAAGTCTCACTGTTGTTACAAAGGCTGCGATTGGTTGGGACTCACATGACATTGAATACTGTAGAATTTTTTATTTTCGCTTGGAATTTAATTTTGCTATTTTCGCTGAAGGAATGATTCCGTGAAAAAAAACAGCGAATATACTTCTTTTCCTATATTTCACATTCAACTCATCAAAAATCAGTGAAAATAAATTCCATATAAAACGCCCAAAAAGCCTTTTCAGCGAAAATTAAATCCAGCTAAAAGTATTTCACAGTAATTAAATAACCAGTGCCGTCAGTCAGTTAAGACAGCTTTCCGGAGATAAACCCGCAAAATAAAGATTAATTGGAAAAACCTTATAAATGAATACTAGCACATCAGACTTGTTTTAGGCACTGTATTTCTCGCATACGTAAACATACTGCCGTGTGTTGTACTGTACCTGATCAAAATCAGGTGTTGGCACTAATAACTAACTTGATCTATAATGGTTTATTCATGGTCATGGCAGCGATACATTGGCCGCAGTATTTTAGAGATATAAGTTTCAGATCACTAATATATTCTAACAACGGCGATTTATTTTTAATATATTTCACGTCCCTCCTATATGTTCTTTCAATGATCAATTAAACTGTTGATTTATTCTGACCTTTGACATTTTCTGACACTGGCGATTGGTTACATTCACGTCAGAGATAGAGATATTCTGACAATAATCACGTGATTGATTTTCACGCCAGTGACACATTTTAATCTCAGTAATGTATTTTCATGGCAGTGTTATATTTTGATCCGGGATAAAAAAAAAAAAAAAAAGTGATATGTCGAGTGCAATATGTTTGTTCCAACCTATTTCGAGTCGCATTATGGGAATTGCGCCCTCTGCGTGCTGGTTTGCATTCATCGATGGGGGCGCTTCTCCCATCTGTAGGTTAGTACATGTACTATTGTTCACCCGAATGCCAGGATAGCTCTAAATCGAGTGGATTTTATGAAAGTTTCAAAGCGGAATTATTTTGTACGGTCAATTTAAAAACTGAATGACTTTATGAAACGTATAAAATGACATTACATACGGATCGAGACGGTCGCAGATAATGAGAAACTACCGAACCTACGTACGTACAATGACAATCAGAGCAGTGTAGTGTTGTTGTTTTCTACCAAACAAACATACACATCTAAATCTGGATATATAATTGTGTGATCATCAACATGCAGTATCAGTCAATACTAAAAATGCATATTTTTTATCAATATTACATTTTCACAAGTTAACATTTAATTACAACAAATTCACAGGTGATAACGTACGTCGATGCAGATCGAAGAGATGAAGAAGACGCCCAAGAAATATGACGTCATCATCCTCATTATAATAACAGTGCATTGTGTGCCTTATTGTTACTACAATTCGACGCTGTCACCTAGCTAATCGCGCTTTTGCGCACTTCAAAACATATTCGAATCATACTGCGACCGCGTCCTTCTGTTAATTGGATAAATAAAGGACGCGTCTCGACCAACAGCACTTGTCGATGATTGAACTTCCAGATAGGACATCTGAGATGTATTGTAAGTATTATATATGTATTATATCTCATTCTGTGGATCACGATTCTCGTGCTGCGGGTAACTATTATATACGCAATTATTCTCCTACTTTATGGGGCTCCATTAGATTACTAGATCGAGTGAATAACGTATGGATTATATACGTAACCCTCTGAGCATCAAAGTCATCTCCATCACAGTTATATTTTCTGAACCGTGTCTCCATTCACAAATTATAGTCTATTCTGTTCAATATAAAATATTTACGAAAATTGTCATTTTTGTTATCATAAATAAAAGCAATGTTAGATTTAGTCTCTTTGGTTAAAATTGAGACTGAATTAAGGAAAAATTACCGAAAACGTTTAGAAATTTACACCTATCTTGAACATGATGAATGAAAAAGTTAATAATAACGCTAAACGTAAACATTTAGGAACAAACATATGTTTACATATGTGACGTTTAATATAAAGAAAATTCAATGAATATATCAGATCACCATTTTGGAGAAAAGTGGTGAAAAATAGCGTATAATGAGGTGTGTTCTGTCAGGTTGAGGGCGTTTTACCAATGCACCTATTGTAAAGATATATCTCAATTTTGACTGGCGACATTGGGTGAACATGTTACACAGAGTGTCTTACAAGAAATTTGTTGATGCCAAGAAGTATCAACAGACTGTATTATATTTCATTGTGAAACGAGATTAACTGATAAATTGTTATTTTGACATATTTCTTGGAAGTGGTTGAGACCAGTTGATGGTGAACGAAATAATCCACTGTTGAAAAAAAATTTAAAAAAATTATTATTGTCAGTTACGAAAAATTGTCAATGTTATATTCACTAACATAGGCACGAGTAGTAATACCGTACACTCACACGACTACAAGCAGTCCCATGTTATGACCCCAGCCCTTTATTTGTATTAATCCATAACAGCGTTTCTGTCATGATGTCGAAATATATTTTGCCTGAAAGAAAATATGCCTAAATGTAATTTGTCATTGATATGCTTTGTATTTGGCAATGATGGTCAAAAAGAACCGGGTTTCGCTGAACATTAGTTTAATGTCAATATTTTGCGCGAACTTTAATTACCGGATACTGAGCCTGACAATAGATCAATTACTTTCAATTCATTATATGTAGTTCATCACACACAATTGCCTCTCAAGGTAAAATATATTTAAATTTAATGGTGTTATTAAGTGGAGAATAAGAGATCAATGACAAGACACGTGATGATAGACTGCCGATTGGTTTCTCAATAATAAATTTGAAAATATGATACGGGATTCAAACCCGCTAATGCAAATAATATTATACTTGAGTTGGCACCAGGATAGAACATTCAATTGCCATTGCAGAGAGTGGGAGCCGCTCAGTCGTAACATGTTATCATCCCGAACTATATATATCTCAGTATTTCCTGTGGTTGCGCTGTACGTATGTAAGTGAGTCTCTGGCAAATATCGCAGCAAGAGGAAACAATGATGCTCATTATCCGTAATAGTCACCAGGCACAAAAAATAATTTGTCATGTAGTACATCATATTCATTGCTGAGCAACTACTAGATCTAAACAATATCGACGCTTTGAATGGCATTCCCGTCACCCATTTACGTCACCAAAGACGTCTGTCACTAGAGGGCGCGATTTAGAGATGAGATGCATTATCCACGTTGTTCTAACAATAGGTTATCATATGTAATTGCGAAATTTATTCGTGTATGCATTTAATAACTGTGGGTGGTGGATACTTGAGGATAAGCCGGATTATTCTGTATGTATTTAATTTCTTTTTGTGGATTTGAGTCACAGCTGCGAGCAGTCAGTCACCAATGGGATGTCACTCACACCTGCAGTGAGTCTCGCGAGATCACAGTCCCTCCAGAATTTGTTTAGAGACTGTGGTACAATCTCAGATCACTAAACTTTAGTTTAGAAAAAAAAAACATGAACTGAATTCATATGTTACTACGAATCATGTTTTTGAGTACTTATGCAATGCATTACGGGAAATATTTTCGCGCTAGAAACTCACCAGGAAGTCGAGGAAAGGGGTTCAATTCTCTTCTCAACGCAGTATGATTCATACGAGGCATTTGCAACCTATGGCACTGGGAAGCGTTTTGCAATATTAAAATCCCAGTAACCTCATTTTTGTATTTCCTTTTTATGAAACGACAGCCTAGATGCAATACAACTACTGCGTTGCAAAAAGGAAAAACGTTTCGATTTTTGTATATGTACATTATAAATTACGATTTGACACAAATGAGCAGTTTTGAAAATAAGTAGATTCCAAATCAATATACTAACTATACTATAGAGAGACTGTGATTATAGTCCGAGCAACGGATCTTTCATTCGCATAGTTTACATTCATACTTCATAATAAAGAGTGCCATAGTAATTTTTTGTTTATCAAACATTTCTTTTAAAAAAAAATAGATCTTTCAACAACATAAATGTTAGTAATTTTGGCATGACTTCGTCTTTTTTCTGTGCGAAATAAGAAAATCAATTATTCAACACTGCATCAAATGTGTTGACAGTAAGCTGTATTGATTCGAAGTCGTATATATTTTTCATAGCATTCTGCTATTTCCAGAGATATAATCAATTTGACCTGAGAATAAACTGTCGTAAGGGCCCCAAGGAAGATTTTCATTTGTTTAATTGGGTTACCCTCGTTAAATAAAGATTTGACTCAAAACTGAGCCCAGTCACAGAGAGTAGGAACAATATATTAATATCTCAAACATATGTATATAGTTTGTCATTTATTACCATTTATCCCGTATAATTGAATATTCTCATTACAATGGCCTTCGCCGACTGCTTATAATGATAGAATGGAATTCTCCGTGAAGGCCGTCAGAAAAGAGAACAGTTTATTTTACAGGAAGGACATGGTTATATAAAACACAAAAATATGTATTTATTTATTAAATATTTCAATATGTTGTTGTTACTCTTTGTGGTTCAGTGTTTCTTTGTCACGTTTTTTTTTATAAATTTAAAATAAACTTTACTAATTTCTTGACTAAGTTGTGGCACATTTTATTCAAATTGTCTGCCAAGAAATACCGTATTGGTTTCACTTCGGCTATTTGACATCAGCATATCGGTAATTTGAGGACTAGGTTGTGGAATAAGTTAAAATATACAAATGCAGGAAAAAATGAAACTGTTTATACATGCAATTTTAATGTTTTTTCTTTAGGTGGAGTCATGGAACGCGTTAGCAACAGCTCATACGTCGAGGTTCTGAGTTCGTCGGAAAAAGCATCGATGATACTAGCGGCAATCTTGTTAATGGTGACAATCGTTGTAGGTACCATCGGTAACAGCTTGGTATGCGTCACTGTGTGCACAAATCGAAAACTACGAACACCGTCCAATTTTCAACTCGTATCATTGGCTATAGCTGACACCATGGTGTGTCTGGTGTCGGCGTCAATTCGCTTGTATCTAAGTATTCGTATTCTGACGTGCGGGTCAAACTCAGTCAACAATTTTTCGCAAAATACAAATATGGCTGTATGCAAACTACAGGCATTTTCTATGTTCTCCGCGGTGATAATATCTTTGGTCACCATGGCAACTCTGAGTGTTACTCGAGCTCTCGGAATCAGTGGTTACGTCATGGGCGATAGTCTGAAATTGTTAGTACTCGTATTCGTCAGTCTTAGTTACGGGCTAGGTGTTGTGTACGGGGCCATAAGGGCGATCGCAGCTCCTGACATCACGTGCTTTCTAGTCGGACGCCAGTCTACAGTAGCGGATAGCTCGGCATTTCTGGGTGCTGTAATTTTAGTGATTAGCATTGTTGTCGTGTTGTTGTCGTACTGCTGCATATGTCGGATAAATCGACGTCACCGTGCGTCTATGTTGCCGTGGCTCAAAGACGCGCACCTGAACCGAATTAATAAACGTGACATCGCCACCATTCGCGTGTCGGCTACATTGGTTGTTAGTTTCTTTCTTACGTATCTACCTGGGGCCATCTACTTCATGATGTCATCAACAAGTGACGTAATCACACAGAATCCGTTTTACTTCAATCTAACTGTCGGTATACTATACACAGGGAGCCTGATCAATCCCTTCATTTACGCGCTTATGTCACAGTCATTCAAAAAGTATTATTCAGTTTGCCTTCGGCGCAAAATATCGGAGGTCAGGCCCATCGCGCGGGTGACGTCATCAGACAACGCGTCGACGACGCTCACGTCAGACACACGCAGACAGCTTGCGAAACAGAACGCAGGTCCCGGAGTTAGCTCCATAGAACTGCCTCAAACCAACGATACAATTATTAAAACATGTTTAGCTAATAACTATATTTCAGAGTGAACTAATTTAATATTGACGTACAATATATTTATTGTGTGTCTGGCTTAAATAACAGCTCCGATTTTTTTTATAATATCATGTCCAAAAACGATATTTATTTGACGAAACAACAAAACACACCACAAATTTTGCTAATTTAAAGCGGGGAGTCACCACCTGCGTATGCGTCAGATTGGTCATAGCGTGTCATTGTTTACTAACAAGCATCTACCCATGAGCCTTTGCGTTTTAGCGTGTGTTGTTATCGTCGCTTGGGAATCAATTCCCGCGCGTGCGCAGGTGACGACCCTCCCCCTTTAAACAATGTATAATCCAATGGCTAAATTCATTAAAAATATTATGCTATTGAGACAGCAACACCT